TCTCTGGGGAGTATACTGGATGTACCAGATTAGTCAACCACAACAATCCTCTCTTCCCTCACAGGTACCCATTTCTACTCCAGGGTGGAGAGAGTCACTTTAGGGTACAGTGACTTGCCCCAAGTCACAGCGTATGCCCCATCACGGTTTTCGGACCCCAACCCTGTAGGCGGGAATTTCCAATCCTGACCGCAAGGCCACGTGGCCCCATGTGCTCTGTGTATTCTTCTGCAGGTTTTCAAAGCCAGCAGGCCGGGACATCCACTCAGGGTCTATTTCCTCATCTACTGTGGCTCCACCGAAGAGCAGCGCTACCTGACCAGCCTGCGACAGGAGAAGCAAGCCTTTGAGCACTTGATCAAAGAGAAGGCGGTAAGTGTGAGGGTCTCAATGTCCTGGTTGAACACAGTTCCCACAAGTAAACAATTATTATGTCTGAGCAGCTGACCATCAGGTATTTTCAACAGTTGGGTTACTTTAAGTTTTTATCCCTAACTCTCCACTGGGACCTTCTCCAAAATCCTCCATTGTGTGGAAACCTAATGGCACATTCTTTCTACTCAATCTTTAAAGGAATATCTAGTCTTATGTAACGTAATAGTTGCAGTACTGTGCCTTTTTTCAACCTACAAAATTCTCTGAGATGTTTTGAAGGATCATGTGTCAAAAGTGCCTAAAGATACTATTATTGCATACCTCTTGATGCCAGCGTGCCAGACAAGCAACATGAAGCGGTGTTTTGGACCACTTCAGTCTTCAGTCCAGTGGAAGTATTTCTCAGTATTTTGCTCAGTACCTTTTCAGGTGAAAATGGCTAACAATTCTGTGGAGTTGTAAGCTTTCCAAATCTAAAGTAAATAAATCAGAGTTTACCAACTAGTCTGTCTGTGACGAATGATCAAAGTGGAACATTATTCTAACAGACCATGGCGTTACCAGAAGAGGTGGAGGGCCACGGGGACACAGCACCGCAGCTGAATAGGGACCAGCAGTCGGCAACTGGTTCCCTGCAAGGCAGCAGCAGCAGAGCTGGTGGTCGCCAGTCACAGGGACAGGTGCAGCAGAAGGTCAGGTTCCACGAGAGCAGAAATAGACCCGGAACATAATAACTTCAGGCTTTGTTTACATGTGCGCTTTCTTATGGCGGTGAGGTGGGATGGGATTTATTGAGTCCCCACTGGAAAGCACATGTGTAAACAAATTGGAAGTCATTATTTTTCGGTCTGTGATTTGGACAATAAAATCCTTTCACAATGTGTGTTCTTGAGAGGAAAGGTTAATGCACTGTCTGACTCTGTCAGATTCCCGGTTGATTCTCAGGTTATTGTTGACATGCGTGAATTCCGGAGCGAGCTTCCTTCCCTAATTCACAAGAGAGGAATTGACATAGAGCCAGTTACAATCGAGGTACGTCATTCCAGTCTTTTTCACTGAAACAAGAACTGTTACGAGGATCTAGATCTGAGATGTTAACTAGCACATAGCTAATTTTCTATCTTGTCGAGGTCCATTCAGGATCTCTGTCACGAGAAATGAATCCAGCCTGTACCTTGGCATGAGAGAGTGCTTTTTAACCAGGATTGCTGTTGGACACTCCTCATGTAGCTTTTGCATTTAACTTTCAACAGATACCAGTTCAATGAGGGAGCATAAACTCCCAGATCTCTGGTTTGGCATTTTGAAGGCTTTTCCCTGAGGTCACCTCATCAATTCATTTCAATCAACCAATGATCAACCAGCGCCCAACAGTAGGAAAGCCCTTTACCTGCAGTCCATCCGCGACTTGTAATGATCTCATTGTTCAGGGTTGCCATCTGAAATCCATAAGTACGCTGACCAACAAAACGTCTTACCACCAGTGGGGCTTCTTAACAGGAAAGCTCTGCAGTCATACCCACGCTATAAAAACCTTGGGGGGTAACCTCATTATCCAACAGGTCGGTGACTATATTCTGACCCCGGACATCTGTGTGGAGAGGAAGAGCGTCAGTGATCTGATTGGCTCCTTAGCATCCGGGAGGCTCTTCAACCAGTGCACTGCCATGACACGTTACTACAAACACCCTATGCTGCTCATTGAGTTTGACCCCAAGAAGTCGTTTTCGCTACAAGTAAGCTCCAGGTCCCGACCCTCTTTGCTGTTTCTTTACAGGTGTGGACTCCATAAGACCATCACAAGACCAAACCAAGACCTCCAGTCTGAATTCAAGTCACAGCTGATTGAGTAGCAAAAAAAAGCTTCCTTTATCATTGCTTACTCTGTTATTTGTGACTGGTCTTGTTTCGTTCTCAGCTACAAATCTCTTTGAAGATAGTGAATATTATTCCGCACCATGCTGTTTTATTCTCAGCTTTCCTTTGTTTGGTTGGTTGGTTGTTTTGGGTTTTTTGTTTTTTTATGGGTTGTTTGCTCTGATAAATGACTTTTAGTTTTTTATCCCGATCCAAAGTAAAGTTTAAGCACCCAACGTTTGGGTGTCTGTGGGTATCAGTGTGTAACCTATGCCGCTTGTGTACTACAAAGCTAGGTCTGAATATTATGGCTGTGGCTGGCAAAAACATGGGCACTTATGGAGGCCAGTGGCTGTCAGCTGCAACCTCTTCCAATAGACGCGTGTCACTCTCAGCCACAGCCAGTCCATCCGGACAAAGCCTCTATTTTCTTGGTGATTGCTTAGATGTCAGAAGTCACTCTAGTTACTTCAGCCTTTTTGGGACTGTCGGGCACAGTTGTTAGTTTTTTGCCTCTGTTCACATTGTCTTCCTAGTCTAAAAGCACTGCCTCTAAGGAGATCAGCTATCAGGACCTGTCCTCCAAGATTGCCCTTCTCACCATGCATTTCCCGAAGCTCCGCATCCTCTGGTGCCCCAGCCCTCATGCCACTGCACAGCTGTTTGAAGAACTCAAGGTATTGGTCCTAAGCCTTGCAACAGTGATCTCTCTTCCGACCAGTGTCCAAATCAGTTCATTCATCGCCCATTATCAAGCAAGACATTGCAAGTTGGAACCTGCAATTATTGGAGTGGAATTTTATAATGTAACCAATCAACAGGCAGAATCATAATTTGCATCACCAAGAATATCTCACCTTCTTTTCTAGTTTGCAAAAATATACATCTCTGAATTTCATGTGTTCCATTTTAAACGAATCAAAGTTTACCTGTCACAACTGTTTATGCTTTCAATGGACTGGAGAGAGACCAGTCCTGGCACTTGTTCAGGTTCCAAACCTAGAAAAAGTACAGTTACTCAGGAGTGTGCAAGGCATTACAAGCCTACAGGCCTGCTATCCCCCACATGGGTACTATCCCCCACATGGGTACTATCCCCCACATGGGTACTATCCCCCACATGGATACTATCCCCCACATGGGTACTATCCCCCACATGGGTACTATCCCCCACATGGATACTATCCCCCACATGGGTTGCCCTCAAGATTATGCTATGGACAGAAACGCTGACGTCCTCAACCCTTTGTTTCGGCATTCATGCTAGGCTGGGCGGGAGCAGCCTGATGCATCTGCTGCTGCCACGGTGACAGCGAGCGAGGAAGCGCAGCAAGCCAGGTACAACCACGGTCCCTACGACATGCTGCTGAAGATGCCTGGCATTAACATCAACAACTGCAGGTCGGTGTCAGCTCGAGCTTAATGCGCATCTGTTTGTTTTTCAGGAATTCCTTGTTTTGTTTTTCTCCCTCCCCCAACGATGTTGCAGTGTCGTCTGACGGGAATTTATTTCTGATTTTACGAAAAGTACCCCACTGGATATCAGTTTTTGGCGCAAGGGTTAGAAACAAAGGACTTCAAAACTTCAGCAGGGGAGTCAAAGAGTTCTTTTTAGTTTTTGTGGTCGAGTCCATCACAAGTCCCTGAAAGTCCATCATGAAATCATCTACTCATAAGGCAAGTCAAGAGCAATTCAAAAGAAAAGTACTCTTTTGTCAGTATTCGCCATGACTTGTGAGCAACCCGATGGAGGGAACTCTCACTGGACTTACAAAAGGGCTTGGTATGGACTTGATTCCAATGTCAAGTAATTGTACACTTTGGCAAGTCAACTTGCCTCAGAATTGGTATTTTGAGGTTGCATGTGCGGAAACATTTGACCAATTCAGCGGGATTTTGTTCAGATCTAGTACTCCGGGATAAAGTATCCAGTCCAGTCATCTGTTTGCTTGCAGGCGGCTTCTCAAGTGCGTCAGCAATTTCACGGAGCTCAGCGCACTGAGCCAGGAGCAGTTGGCCCAGGCGTTAGAGCACAGCGGTAATGCGGCACTACTGTGGTCCTTCCTTCACTCTAAGGGATCACTGGGCAAAGACACCGCCAAGACTGCCAACCCAGCAGGGAAATTCCAGCGGGGAAGCAAGAGGCCGTTTTACGGGAGGAAGAAAGGGGCCACCAAGAGGTGATTGAGGTGGAACCGGCACAGGGACCAGTTACTTTAAGGGTGCATGGCGGGGTCTAGATATTCGGAGGAAAAGGGGTTTCTTTGAGGGAAGTAAATTTGATACATTCCCCGCTTGGTAAGTCCGTGAGCTTGGTTCTGTGTTGAGCTTACTAGGCCTATTCAACTTAACACAGAACCCAACCTCACGGTGCTGCCAAGTGGGGAATGTTGGCTTTAACACATACGCGGTACGCAGTAAAACCAGTCACGATACAAACCAAATGCCTTCATGGCTAGCAACCTGATCTGGCTCGGCAAGCATTTCCTTTGTTTGGCAAATTCCTGTACCCTATATTTCCATGAAAGATAGGCTGCATCCAAATGTGTTGTCCAGAGCTAGGTCTAGGTCTCCGTTCCAACTGAAATATCCAGAGATGCATTGATAATACACAGCTGTAGCCCTAGAAGCCCGTTTAAGACACGACTGTATCTTATTAACTTGGCTGGGCCTATAAAAAGTGGGTTGAAAATTATTTTTAATTAAAATGAGTATACCAAATGTGACAACACTACAATAGGCAGATAAAGGGCTCAATCGGTAGCTCGTTTACACCTCAAAGATGTTTGCCGAAACTGCTTCTGTTTTATGCAGTGTTCTCTTACAGAACAGAGTGCTTGCACACGACGCCTTAATGGAGTGCAGTTTTTGTCAGTTAGATTCAGTGACGGTGGAAGTACAAAGCATTTGATTAGGTAGATCATAATCCATACAGGAAGAACAACCTTCCCTCTATGGTGGTTCACCGGCCGTGCCAGCACTGTGCAAAGGAGGCAACAGTACATTGAATATGAGGAATCCTATGTGTGTGGTAAATATTGCACCCAAGACACCTGTGGGACCAATGACTAAAAGATCAGAATTGTAAGCTGCGCTGTATCCAAACTCCAGGTTCACATCAGCCGGTGCAAACTTCACTTTGTAAAAGACGCCTAGTACAATGTATGAATAGTGTACATTTTTAAAGTGCATCAGAATGCTGTGTCTTATGCCCTTACTGTGCATCTCAGGGTTGTTGAGAATGAAATAAAGAGATGAAATCATTGATCCGTTTCCTAATCTCTTTCATGAGTATGTCCGCTAGAGAGATTGCACTTGTGAGGTCAAACAGTCAAAGGGCACGGCCACAGGTTGTGCAACTGGACTTCATTGAGGGCGCCGTCATGGATCTGATTACACTGCGGTTAAACGTTTGATGCATCTGACATGTATGAAGCCTTTCAAGCACTCAAATTCTTGGATAGCCGTGGGTGCGGTGAGAGGGCTGTTTTCCCTAAATAAATAAAAAGGGGAAAAAAGCAAAATTCAAAGTGATGAAATTCACCAGTCTGCTTAATAATTCCTCAGAATCGAACCCCTTCCATCCTTGATGGCATGTCATTTTGCCGCTTCTGGGTACCTTGCTCTGCCCCCTTGAAAAGTCTTAGCCACACCCATGTGCTCAACTGGTACCCCTGAGTCCCATGGCATCATAATTGAACACACCGGCATCGAAACATCATTTAATCTTTTCATATGCCCGCAGGATTAAAGGTTAAATGAAAGCCAAAAGCTAGAAATAAATAACCCGAGGAATCCTTGGGTGTGCTCTCCAAATCGCGACCTGAATGCGCCCTTGGAAACCGCCACTCGCATGTGAACAGCGGCCTCTGTTGTCGACTTTCTAATCCAGTGACGTGGAAGATTAATATCGATCTGAGCAACAACATGGCTTCATTCACGATCGAAACGGCTAGCGACCACCATGGCCGACACTGATACCGGTCCGTCCGAACGGGAGAAAACAAGCAACATGGCAGCCGCACAGAGTATTTACCAGTTCGGCCTGCAGATCTTCCTGTTATGTGTGATGTGGTACACCAGCAGCTTGATGCAGAATGTCATCAACAAACACTTGTTCGGCCAGTTCCCCTACCCGACTACCGTGTCGATGTGCCACATGTCCGCCGTCGCGGTGCTGCTGCCGCCCGTGCTCAGACTCTGGCAAGTGCCGCTTCCGGACATCGTGTACGACCGGGGTTTCTACCAACTCGTCATCCCACTCGCCTTCGGCAAATTCTTCTCTTCCGTCTCGGCTGAAATAAGTATTTTGAAAGTGTCAGTCTCTTTTGCTCACACAGGTAAAAATATCGTCTTACTTTTGTGTTTGTCCCATAGGTCTATGATCTCCGTATACTAGAGGCCTACGCTTTCTACATGATGAACATGTAGGTTAGGCTATGAATTATGATGTCCTAGTCATGCTAGTCCCAGAACTGTGGTGTGGCTCACAGTCATGACACTTCTAGGAGTAATGGTATCCTATCGTTACATGTCGTAATTACGCGGACATGTCGGACTACCATTGAAGATATTCAACATGGCTAAGCCTACAAGTACATGTCATACATGTAGGCCTACATGGCAAATGATAAAAAATGGAGTCAGTTACCAGGATCCCTCCCCAAATTTTGGTTTTTATTTTATGCATGTGTGGGCCTACATGTACATGAATGCAGCCCAAAATTACCTTCCCGGCTAGTCTGAGAAACTAGGACTCTGTCCATGTCTGTGAATCAGCTCTTTTAACATTTGGACATGTCGGCGATCTACTGATCCTAGCCATGTTCAAATGTTAAAATAGGTGATCTGTAGAGTCCTAGTTACTCACACCTCTTTCCGGCATCGAGAAGTTGATGTTTTTTAATCATAACAGTGAATATTAATGGAGTAATCTGAAGGAGAATGTAGCAAGAAAATGTGAAATTCTCACCAATTTGGAAAGAATTCCATAGCCGGACATCACTTGACACCTTTTGCCCTATGAGACTAGTCCGAAAAATTCTAAGTGTTTTCCAAGTAAATATTTTAATATTTTCACTGTGAAATTTGACTTTTAGTGCTAATAATAAACCACTGCAAGGGAAAATGAGTAATGTCCGTGTATGGAACTCTGAGCCCAACTTTTTATCGGTAGTAGCCGGGTCCTGAATTAAAATAAGGTCTGCCGCTTCCTGACGTGGTTTGCTTTTGGTACTGTATGCACGAGTACATTAAGTGTTTTAAAGGACTTGGAACATTTTACCTCAGTAATCTTCATCTGGTTCCACTCTTACATGTACTTTGTCATTTGGAATTAGAATTTATGCGATGAAATTCAGACCCTATTCAAACTTGGGCCATATCAGAATCACTTGGCTATAAGCTAAAATCATGCACGAGTCTATATTAGTGGCTATGACCAATTCCCGTAGAGTCATGTGTGATTTCAAGCCAAGTGATCATTACGTGATTCAGATGTAGCCTTGGAGTATTTTAAAAAGGGGCGTAAATTTTGAGATTTCATCCAGGATTGACTGACAGTGCAGTGCAATAGAGAGATCTTATCGACCCAGGAAAATAAAAAGTTGAACATTAAAAAACTTGTACATCTTTAAGTACCAGATGTGTTATATAAAGTGGGGGTTTTTGAGGAACAAAACTATTTGAAGTACAATGTACTTGTGTATGTTTTTCCAATAACGTTGCCTTATGTTACGTTTGTTTGTTTTTTTGGTCCAGTGAAAGCCACCATGCCCATCTTCACAGTATTTCTATCAAGACTTATATTAAAAGAAAAGCAGACAGCTATGGTAAGTCATCACCTAAACCCCCTGCACTATGCTATAAAAAATAAGTAACTGCAGTGAACGATAAGGCTTCCTGTAATGTATGTCCTAACTTCGTCTAGTGCCTTTTTTGGGGGCAAGCTCAACTTTGGTTTATCCAGCCGAACTGAATAGTTGAATGAAAAATGTGTAATTTAAAAAATATGTGAGAACTGGGCTGATGCTTTTCTGTTATTTTAGTTTCAGTAGAATTTCCCGATACTTGTTGCTTGTTCATGTTCTCTTTGGGCATGCCCGACTTTGTCCAAAAAGTTGAGCCTGCCGCAGGTTGGCAGTGGACAAAGTTTAGGCACTAGACCGCTAAAAGTTTGGACGCAGCATGTAAAGACTGTGGCTTTTTGAACCCCGGAGGGACAAACAATATAGAGACAAAAATACCAAGTTGTGTTGTTCTCCATGGTGTATAAAGGTCCATGGAACACATCAACATAGACAACTCTTGTTCTGTTATACCATACTGTTGCTTTACAATTTTCAGAGATACATGTACGTTGGTATAGGTACTATACTGGTTACTCGTTCACAGGATACCGTACTGGAAGCTTCTTGTTCAGGTGAACCTGAATACGGGCGATTCACATTAGTGCACCTCCAAGAGTTGGCAATGCACTGGCCAATCACAATGCATGAAATCTGACGACTCAATACATGTCCATTTTTTAAAAGGGTTGGCAGATTCCGCACATTGTGATTGATCAACGCATTGCAAACTCTTGGAGGCGTGCTATTGTGAAATGCCCATATTGACTCTATACACAAGTCGACCATATGGAATTGAAAGCGAGGTTAACCTCTTGCTTCCAGGGAACCCCGTTTCGAGCACCGTGTGTTTATACGCAAAGCGGGGGTGCCCTAAATGGGACATAAGAGCTGGTCTGTGTAACAAAAGACCCTACAAAAAACGTGCTGCTGGGAATTGCCATCATTTTTCGGCTTGCATTTTTCAAAGATAATCCGTCACTGTTTTTAAACAGTATACCACTGTTTTGGGCATAGCGTGCCCGTGGATTAGCAAAGAATTTTGAAAATTGAAAATCGCCGTATGTGTGCACTGCATTTTTAAAAGCACCTGGCAGCATGTGGTAAACTTTCTTTGGGGAAAAGTTTATTACAGATTAATTTCATCTACAATAATGAATAATTTAAAATTTGTGATTTTATTATATCTAAATATTTAAGCAGCCTTTAAAAAAAATGAAAGGGAGGCATGGAACCCAAAATAGTCTGGTACCACCTCATTTGAGAATAATTCAAGTAACATAATAAAATGGCTTCCTTGTTAATGAGTTCTATTAAGACAAACTACAAGAAGACCTACACTGCCACCTCTTCTCAAAACTCCCCTCCTTCTTGCTGCCCAAGACAATCTAAAAGTTGTTTTTTTTTTGGCCAGATATACTTATCTCTCATCCCAATCATATTTGGAGTGATGGTCGCGACGTTAACGGAAGCTTCGTTTGATATGCTAGGACTCATCATGGCCGTTGTCGCAACTGTCACATTTGCCCTTCAGAACGTTTATTCTAAAAAGGTAAGGGTGTGATTCTTTGTCCTTGCTGGTCCAAACACAACCATCCCCCAGTTTTCCACGGCGTTCTTGCGAATTATGAGAAATGTGTTGAAATTCAGACTAAATTAGAGAGAAAAAAATGATGTGATTTTTTGCACCAAGTATATGGTGTTTATTGTGTATCGCTGAAGGGCACAAAATTTGCACATGTACATGTATATATAGGAAGATTAAGCCGAATGCTTTTTTTATATGAAGACATTTAGCCATTCATAACAAGAATACTCCAATCCATTGTTTTGCGTCTAACATGCTGGGCAGTTGTATTCCAAATTGAGAGTCTTTGACAAAAGACAGACTTGATGTTACACACTTAATGTTACCAGCTGTTTACAGAACATGTTATCATTCACTCAGCACATCATTCCCAAATGCTTAATAGTTTTGAACATAGTTCACCAGTGCTTGGCTTCTATGTGCTGCCCTCGCAGCAAGTAGTGCGCTGCACCAGATCCGTACCAGTGTTGTCGTGTGCATGGGTTGAGTTGACTAGCCATCTGTCCCCAACTTATTTTGTCTGTTCTTCACAATTTAGAAACCAACATGCAGTAACTGACTGTTTTCAGGTTGACTTCCCCTCCTTGGCCCCCCCCACTCACTTGCAGTGAGTGCACCCGCTGTGCATCAAGCAGAATGTTCAACTTTCAATGAACTAGACATCCACCTTTCATTCATCCTTTCATCATGAGTGGGAATTTTTTTTAAACTGTTTGTACTGCGTGATAGCATTCATAGCCATCGGAAAGTACCGTTGTGGAAGTGTCTGTATCGAGTCTGCTTTTTCTTTTTGTTCAACTGTTATTAAGTTGCCAGCCTTGGCTTTGCTGCCCATACCTTTTGGTTCGTCCAGAGCGAATGAAATTGCTACATAGGGATGTTAAGGGTAATAGAAAAGCTCTCTGTGCTCCTTTTTCTGCTAGTACATTTTGGTACTCTAGAGGCTGTGTAAAAGTGCAAAAAAAAGGGAAAAAATCAAGAATCATGTAAGGAAAAGGTTATCTTTTCTTTCCTTCCTTAAGGGCGTTTTAGGTCCAGTTTCATCATGTTCATCCTAAATGTGGCTGGAAATGATGCAACAACTCACAGAGTTGGACTGTTGGATCTTTGCAGTACCTGATCCTTCTTTGTAACAAACAAATAACTTTATCAGTAACAAATGAATTGAGGGCCTTGCCACGTGTGATTCCGTGTTCGTCGGGAGAGCCAGAGATGTTCCGTTATAACTGGCGCCCAACCTTTGGCTGTTCCCCTTCTGATAATTCCATGATATAACTGGGGATCAATAGCTTGTCTTCAGCATATAATCCTTTTGGTGGCATTCGTTGGAGGCCTTTTTTGTAGTCTACCTTCAAATCCCCAACTCCCCAGGCAATGTTGCTAGGAACCCAACCAAGCGCAGGACTCTGCATCTCTTTCTCTGTACTGGAACAGTTGAAAGGTTTCAAAGCCTGTGTAATGTAGTACTGTTCTAAATGTCTAGTTCCCTCGTTAATCCTTTAACTCTCCCCCTCGCGGTCTTGGATTGGGGGGGCTATGTTCTCCATGATGATACATACGTGTACACTCCTCGTGCAACACAACCGAAAAAACACACCTCCTTGATATGGAATGGCCACAGGTTTGGACTTTGTATTTGGGTCAGACGTTTGGTTGAAATTTCTCTGCCGAATTGGGAGCTGGTGGGGGCATATATCCCAGATGTATTGGAGGTTTACAGTGTGTGTGCTGAAATCTCAAACCATGTTCTGCATGTCGCACAGTAGACCAGGGATAGTCACACTGTGGCCTTTACTTTGTGGCAGGAAAGCTGGCCTCCAGTAAACCTACAGCTGTGGGGAAATTAACACAGATACTTAGGAAATGGCTGACACTGAAAGCGATCCACACGAATTCCCTTGTTCAGAAAAGAAACACTTTGTCTTCAACATTCTTTAACATGCCTGTGCAGATGGAAAGTCCTTCCCCTTACTACATCTACATGTACATTCCAATTCTTACGAAATAATCAGTTACCTCTTATTCCTTTTGACCAGTGTTGTATTCGAGCCCATCACAAGTCCCTGCAAGTCGGTGTAAGTCCATTGCAAGTCCATCACAAGTCATTCAATCCTTCACCTGTTGGAGGACTGAGGACTGTTAGGGTTAAGCCAACTCACAAGCTGTTCAAATGAACTGTGACAAAAGCATTCTTTCGTCATTTTTCACCCTGTTACTTCAGACTGGCCATTAGAAGGGACTTGTGAAAGGACTTGTGAAGGATTTGAATACAACACTGCTTTTGACAATGAATTTGTATGATTTGTGTGAAATTGACAAAGTATTTTGGCCTTGCCACTGGGCTAAGCAAGTTGATTAACCCTAACCCTCCTCAATCCTTCACCTGTTGGAGGACTGAGGAGGGTTAGGGTTAATAAACATTATCGGTATTTACAGTACTAAGTTGGGAATAGTCACACTGATGAGCAAATGAGAAAAATGGGCACAGAGTGATTTTATACAAGGGGATATTTAACAAGTCTGCTTCACATCAAAGCCCTTAAAAAGTTTGCCCAAACACTTCTACCCACAGAGTCAGCAACTGTGTTCAGTTCTCAATCCATCGGAGTGATGGAAGTGATCCCATATTCATGTCCAGGCAGAGTACATAATGGTTGCCAGGACAAAGCTCTTCACTGGTTCTTTTGTGTAAATAAACAAGGGCCAAACAATGTGGCTCCGTCACGCTTGACTGCATTCTGCATGCACTGTCCCTTCCGCAGGCACAGGTGGTTCTGGACAACATAGTGTGAACCATCCCTCCATGGGTGAACCCCTTGCACGTGGAAAAAAAGGGAGGGATTCCTGGGGTTTTACATACTGTTGTATATTTTGAGCTGAAAGTTAGAAGAAGGGGAATTACAAGGTCCGTGGGTAGATCCAGAACCCTTTTTGTGGTAGGTTGGAGATTTTTTCAGAGGGATGATCTTTATGTTCAACTTCTCATGGTCTTTCTGAGGGGATGAGACTTTTTACATGCTTTAGAATTTGGAAGGAAAGGGAGATGACAAAGTCCACCCATTCTCTTATTTCAAAAAACAAAATTTGTTTACCCTTTTTGGAGAGGGGGAATGGCCCCGTCCCCCCAACTCCTGATCAGCCAATACATGTGCATGTCGTTAGCTCTGCTAGAAAGATGTTCATGTACACGTAGGCATTGGCTTCACCGCGGACATTGGGCAATGTTGGATTTAAACGTGACCTTCGAAAGTCTTTCTCATCTCACTGCAGCAACAGTTATATATCTCTTTTACTTGAGACACTGGTCCTGTTAATATCTCATTTGGCTAGAAATCAGTCGTGCTACTTCTTGTTTGTTAAAAAAAAGGAATTTGTCAGTGATGATTTGTGATGGAAGTCATGTCATGTCTGACTTTGGTTCGCATTTTGTGTATGGGTGTGAACCCTGGCCACTTGGGAACTAGTCGTATAACTATGGGAGAGGGGGACTTCCCTCCCCCCCGGAAGTCCATCTCCCCCTCCACCCACGAGCCTCCTTTCCCGTTTAAAATCTTGAATAGTACACGACCTGTGTACAGTCTACCAACAACACAGCTCCATTTACTTTCAGTGTCTCCAAGAAACAACGGGTGCGTCCCCAGGTGCCCTCTCAGGCATGGCACCCAAGTTTTACTAATTTTTGCAACTGTCACCCCTTGAGCAAAGATACTGGCAAAATGAGAGACCACCGACATGGGGCCAGATAGTTCATTTTGTAGAGTTTTGGTACAGAAGTACATAGGTCACGGGGTTCTAATCCATCTCCGGTCACCATCTCTGTCAAACGCATGTTTAGACATTCAATCTCAAAACAAAAATGTAGTGATCTGTTAACTTCTGACTTTGCCACCTGACTTTTCTCCACGTCTAAAAAATCTTGTGGCGGTTATCCGCCATTTCTGATCGTCAGTACAAGGCTTCATTTTAGCCAGGCGAGTCAGGTTTTATTTGCACTATTATTACACATAATCCCAATCATAATGACCACTCCAATTACCATGCCAATTTCCTGTCAGGACAAGACTCGTGTAATCATTCCCCTTCCACAGGATTAAAGTGAAGATTATTTTAAACTTAATTTTGAATTTCTGATTTTTCTTTGTAATCAGGTTATAAAATTAATCAAAATACAGTTCATGTTTTCCTTTACTGTAGTTCCTTTCTTGTGTTGCGTTGTTCTGAAAATGTTATTGTTTCAGTGGCTAAATGAAAAGCAAGTTCGGGCAAATAGTGTTAAGCACGTTGGAGAACATACGTAACTGTCGGCATAAAATGAGCTGAAAGTCTGTATTTTCGAAAATTGAGATATTGTTGTTGTTCTTTTATTCAGCAGAAAAAAGCTTTCCATTGGTTTATATCTTGGTGTAAAAAGCACATGTTGGTTCTAATGTGACATTATTCTGTCACCTTTGCATCTCTGTTTCTGACATTGTTTCAACACTTCTGACCAGGCATAAATAATGCTATTATCAAAATTGCTAAGAAAATGTTTTTAAATCTCTGATCCTGCTAAAAATTTAGAATTAAATAGACGGTTACTCTTTCCAAATGTCACAAGACCCAGAAAATAACCTCCCTTTCAATCTCTAACTTGGAACCATCGTAAGAGTGGAGTGTGACTTTAAGTTCATTTTTTCATAACAGGTCACATACGTTAGTTTTAGTGTTCCAGTAAAGCTTACAAGTCCTCAGTAACACACATATGGCAGCTAAGAGTGTGCTTGCTTGGCATCTTGCCATTACTCTTTAACAAGGTCTCAGGTTACAGCTCCCTTTGACCTCTCATTGGTAGACATATAGCTAACAAATGGTATAAATAAGTATTTTTCACTGCCATTGCAAGCTACCCACAGGGCTTTGCATTTCCTGTCATATTGTTTGCAGGCCCAGAGGACCTACAGATGAAACTCTAAGGGTTACACTCGTTTATCCAAAGCTGTCGTTACTTTTGGTTGTTTGATTTTCTCTCCCCATCTCAGGCGCTCAGGGACATTGGAATTCACCATCTTCGCCTGCTGCTCATCATCAGCCAGCTTGCTACTGTCATGCTGCTTCCCATATGGACAGTGGTTGATCTCAGGAGAATACTTGGCGACAGGAGCTTGGTAACAAGTTATCCCTCATAACTCCCTTTTCTTTTCTTCCATCCAATCCAATCCCATCTAATCCGGTTCAACCCAGTGTTGTCCAAATCCAGTCCAATCTACTCTCATCCAGCCCAATTCAATCCAATCTATTTCAATCCAGTCAGTCTGATCCAATCCAGTCAGTGTGATCCAATCTAGTCCAGTCAAGTCCAGTCCTATCACATCACATCGAATCCAGTCACAATCCAATTGCAGTCCATCACAGTCCAATCAAAATCCAGTCACAGTCCAATCACAGTCTGATTGCAATCCAATCCAATTTAATCCAAACAAATTCAGTCACAATCCAATCACTATCTGGCTTGTCTTACATCTCCCCAATCCAATCACAATCCAAGCCAATCCATTCCAACCCAGTCCAACCCAACCCAACCCAACCCAACCTAACCTAACCCAACCTAACACCACCCCCACCCTTCCCAGCCCAACCCTACCCAACCCTACGCAGTCCAACCCNACCCCCCCCCTTCCCAGCCCAACCCTACCCAACCCTACGCAGTCCAACCCTATCCAACCCAGCACAGCCCAACCCTACCCTATCCAACCCAGCCCAACCCTACCCAACCCTACCGAACCCTGCTCAGTCCAACCCAGCCCAGCCCTACCTTATCCAACCCTACTCAACCCAGCCAACCCTACCCTTCCTTACCCAACCCAACAAAACCTAGCCCAACCCTACCCTACCCATTCCAACCCAACACAGCCCTCCCCAGCCCAAAATCGAAATCCTGAGGGTATAATATTTCAGACCATTGAATAATTAAAAACACAAAGAAGGATGCCCTTTAAAAAAAAGAATGATTTTCAGGTGTTACACACTCCTTAATGTATTTGCTTGGGAACCATAGAACAAACATGGCAAAGTACAGACCAAAGACATACGGTATGTGTAACCCCATTCAACAGCCTGCTTTTCCAGTCCCAATTAACTGTTCTCATGATATACACCACAGATAGCTGAAGGAAAATTTTTATAAAGAACGAAAATAAAAACGTCTGTCTTAAAGATGGATTTACTCTGCAATGCGCTGATAGGTTAGTGTCAAGATGAATGGCTAGTGTGTAACGCCTTAACTCTTCACCCGCCTCTGATTCGTTTCCCTTCTTGACAGCTTCAAAACATCAACTGGGCCTGGACACTATCCCTCCTCCTCGCTAGCGGCCTGTTCAACTTTCTGCAGAACATCTTCGCCTTCAGCGTCCTGCACCTCATCACCCCCCTCAGCTACTCCATCGCTAACGCCTCCAAGCGAATCTTCGTCATCATGTTGTCACTGCTCATGCTCCGCAACCCGGTGACCCTCGTCAACATCATGGGCATGATGACGGCCATCTTTGGCGTGCTGTGCTACAACCTGGTGAGTTGTGCCAGAATCAAAGTGGTGATGTTTTGGGGCTTGAACGAAAAAAATCAAATGAGGGTACGGCCCCACCCTATCCCGTACCACTTATTCCATTTATTTTTTTTTACTTTGTATTTGTCTGTCTGCGATTGCAGACTGACTACTTTTTCTTTTCATTAGAAGGAAGATTATTAGCATGGGTGTAATGACTAATTCCATGGTTTTTTGGTTGGTTCCTTTTCAGGCGAAGTACCGTGCCAACTTGGCCAAACACCGGCCGTTCCTGCCCATGGTCCAGTCGGACTTGCTGGACGGCCGAATCATCGGCAGGTCGGACGTGCCCAACGGCCGGCCGCACTTCAACGTATGACTCTGACCGGAAGGACCCTGGGTGCAATGCAAGTGACAGACTTGCGTAAGCTCCTGCATGTACAGGCACAACAGAGAAAAGTAATATATTTATATGAAAAGCGTACTCTATTTCCGTGGAGGGGATCCCCGTAATCACAATGATGTTGTCCATGTTGAGTAATTAACTTCACGCCCCACAAAATTTTAAGAATGTTCTTAATTAAAAATTCGAAACCAAACTGACAATGGTTTTGGATGTCATCTGGATATCTTCCACTCCATAAACAACCCATTGAACTCTCAAAATTCAATGAATTCCCAAGCAGCTTTTGACTTGTTTTCACACCACACGTGATCCTTAATCATTTGTTTGTTTCATTCCTACTAAGTGTGGCAATAAGTGATGCAAATTAGCTTGCTGATGACAGATTAAAGGCTACTCCTTTTTTGTTTTGTTGTGCTTTCGCTTTGACCTTGTTTATGCCCCAACCGACTAATTTTCCAGCTTGTCTGTGTCTGTGAGTTTGTTGCTGCATTCAATTGGGGACCTTGAACAATAGAGGNACAAAACATATGGGTGGTCTTCTAAAAAAGTTAGAGTACAAACAAAAGAGGAACAATAGGGGGTCCCCAGTTGCAGGCAAATACACACTTGTGGGGGTGTGTGTGTGTGTCCCAAACCTTCTTGTCAGCGCTGTAAATTAAGAATTACTGTGCATACAAACTGCAAATCTGGTTTAATGGGTTACTCGTGGTGATCCGAAAAGCCTATTGCATTTGGGGACAAAGGTCATGGTGACAAAGGTTTAAAAAAAGACATCATGTCAGCATGATAACTTAAGAAATACTTTGCATGTGAACTTCAGACTTGGTTTCGGATTGGTCTTACTAATCCTAGCAAGACTATTGCATTTAGGTCAGAAAGGTCAAAGGTTAAATTCACAGTTACAAAAGCAACCGAAATCTTGTCAGTGCAATAACTGGAGAAATACTTGGCTTTTGCACTGTTTTTGGTAATCCCACTAGCCTATTGCATTTAGACCCGAAAGGTCAGCATTAAAGGTCACAGTAGCCAAAAGAATCGAGATAAATCTTATTTTTGAACCAAAAGTTAAAGGTCGTCGGGCTTCGGCATGGGCTCGGCGGGGTGCTTGTGTTTGTTATCACGTTGTTCTTGTTCAAATCATCCCTTCCGGTGTTGATAGTATGCCGTATAACTGGCATGCACCAGATGGCCAGGTGTGAATAATTGGGTGCTTTGTTTCATATCACAGGATGTAGAGTCTCTGAATCCATGATGTCACCTTTATATTTACTGTGTGCTACATGTATATGGACATTCCCATGCCTTTGTGCACCACGTAGTTGAGAGCGCATGCGCACTTGATCACTGTGCTGTGGATGTCGAGGCAGGTGACGTGGGACACTGTTCTGACACTTCTTTCTGTGGATGGAGACCATAATTTATATCTAACAAAATACAAACAAATAAAGTTGGCGGAGATAACCTGATAACCAAAAATTGATTAGACAACATTAAACCACTGTATTATATGAACCCAGTTGCACAAAATGTGAAACATTCGGAAAAAGTGATTTAAAAATATATAAACACGACCAGATTTGAAAGAAAATACGTCCACGATCTTTCCCATTTTAAAGCCACTTCTCCAGTTTATCCACACAAACAAAATAAAGTGTGGTGTGTATGCAAGACCCGATAAAAACATCTGTCATATTTTCAAGTTATTGCAAATTTAATAGTTTGCATGAGAATCATTTGTCCGTAGTGCTGCATGTGTGTGTTTGTTGATGGAGTACGTGTTCAAGACATGTACTTGAACATAGCTCATGGCCGACCATCAATTAACAGAGAGCCAAAATTGAAACTGATCAAACTAACAAAGGACAATTGGCAATAGCTTAAACATAACATGGTAATCTCTTCAAACACTCTTTCAATTATCGGGATATGCAGCATGTGTGGAGAAACTGGAGATACATTCTAATTTTCAAATTTTAAAATACCCCTTTTTTATGTTCGGAAATGTAGCATACACAGTCATCTTTCACCCCATTTCCTTCCAAAGTCACTTATGATTAACAAGAAACACATCACAAAATGAAATCTGAATCTTGATTACACTTCTCTGGTATGACTTCAGCAATGTTACGCAATGCAGAAGAAGATCTTCGCAGATGGATTTTGGTATAGTCATTTGCTGTCTGGCATCGCCATTTTAACAAGCAACAGAAAGTGACCATGACTTTACTGAATTTTAGAGCATGCACATGAACTATGTGGGAGGGGTGAACATACGTGATAGTTGTACAAATCCACGACAGAATTATGTTGTTTTAGTCTATTTTTATATACAGTTTAAAAGATAGTGAACTTTACTAATGCTTCAAAAATGAAGTGGTCTTTGCTGTATTTTTTTAAATTTTGTTTTTAAGTTCACAATTTTCAAACTAAGTGATTCCGTTTTTAAATCTTCAGTAGATTTTAATAACTTTTCAGGAGTCCACATGTAAGCAGAATTAGCCCGCTACATGTATAATTTCTGTCTTTTATTTTTACTTAATTAGGTTCTTAAATTGAAAGGGAGGTTTTCAAAGTGATCTGAGTAGGGTCCTTTAATTATAATTTTTTCTTTCACTTTCCAAGCCTTATTTTTGGTTTCCCTGCTCTTCTGCTTAGAGACCTAAGGCAAAATTTTGGCTAGAACTCAGACACCCTTTAAAATTTAAAATAACATACAGTGAATACATTAAAAGGAGCTCACGATGAGTAAGCTTTTATTTCTGCAAACTATTTCTGCAGTTTCCTTTTTTTTTTCTTTTTTTTGGATTAGACTATTGGAGTGTGACGGCATTTTGAACCAGGAAGTGTAGTGCAAACGAATGGACTAGGTGTGCGTGTTGGTCCACACACTGGTTCTCATATTCACTTCAGTACACTATACATACTCAGCATTGCCAATTAAGCAGCTGGTATGGCATCAAAAACATGTGCATTGAAGCTACAGAGACAGCTGCGCAATTAATAATGTCTCTGTTAGGCTGCAGCAACAGGTGATGCTGAAAAGAACTATGTATACTTTTGCTGGCAGCGTTGAATGGTTTAATTGAACATTTCAGTGTCTGGCAGGCTAGAGGCATCGCACAGATGGCTGACATATTCACTTAGGGTTTAATTACATGTACATCAGTGTTCATCGAAATTGCTGGATTACGGGTGTGATTATGCTGGTATAGGGGCGTTTGGGATATGACCATCATATGCTTTTTGCCTATGTGTTTCCTTAGCCTTGACACCGGTAGTGTGCTCAGCAACCAATCGGTGGCGTTTCTGAGGACTAGGCAGGTGGTGTGTCATGACATGGCCCATTGAGCATTCATTTAAGCCATGGCTCAAGGTTATTATGGACTAGGGAGCATAATTCATGCAACAAAAAGTGTTCATGCTGGTTATTTGCACATCTATATGTACGTAGGTGCACTATATTAAAACATTTGTATAGGGTGTTCAGCACAGCTCAACATTAGATGAGTATAGGCAGATCAGAAACAATCAGACTTGAATTAAGTCTAGTTGTGCACACCTTGCCAAAATGCCTCTTGCTAGCAAACAACAGTCCTTCACATGTAGTCGTCTCAGATCCTTCAAAACCTGTGAAGGGGTCATCATGATGGATTTTTTTGGATTTAGGAAGGTAGAACTTGATCCGTTTCTTTACGTGGTTATGGTTAAGGTCCAGCACACATACTTGATGTTTTTTCGCTCCAGGGGGATTCCTACAAGTAGCCCTATAAAGCTATAAAGGCCTGAGTTTTGATTCATTTGATGGTCGAGTCCTTGTCAGGTGATGGTTTTAACCTAGAAGTTTCAGTTTTTCCCCTGCTTTTTCATTGGATTTAGCAGGTTTTTTGATTGCGCAGTTTTTCCTTGCTTTTAATTTTAAGAAATTTACTGCTCTGACTTGGCTGTATTTTCATTTTGTGTTTTCATTATTTCAGGAAGTGTGGACAAAAATGTGGTTTGAGCAGAAAATTTACCCGTTTATCAAACCCGCAAATAGTCAAAATATGCCTTATATAGGGCAAATGTTACACTGCTTGTGGTTGGAATGAAGGCCTCTTAAAGTATTAATTATAGTGTTATTGTAATGTGGTTTTATTTCAGTATTGTTTGTTTCAGGGAACTCTTGTCAAGTGTTGACTTCTTACAATGGGGGAGAGACTTTAATGTAATCACGAATTATAATGATAAAATTACAAATAATGAATCTTTAAATTACAAAACAGTTACAAAACAATAAACTTGAATGAAAGTTGAATGTTTTGACTTGTCCGCTATTTCATTTTGAAAATGTTTAGCTAGAAAAAGTGGTATAGGTACTCCGGAATTTCGATAAATTTAAGGCAGTCTTCTTTTTATGCCACTGCGGACATCTCATGTTCCCAATAGTTGTTTTATCTTAGACAAAGTACATGTATTCATTGATGTGTCCAAGATGGTCCATTCACGAATTTGTTCTGAGGACACGGTCGCAGGTTCTCGGACAGTTTGGTGTGAGAGTCCTCGTTACTTGCGAACCACCCGTACACGTGTACGCATTTAACTGAACTGTAGGCGTATGGCTGCACTGTCCCAATTCAAGGAAAATAAAATTCTCCGCCAGGCCGAAGCGCATGAAAAGTACAGATTCTTTCTAAAAGAGGGGTCTGTGTGGGCCAAGAAATTGTGGGATTGTGTAAGTATGGCCCAGGATCATCTTTGAAGATTCAGGGGCACCCATCTGGGGGTAAAGCAGACAAAAATGTGATTGAAAATTTGTCAGAAGAGCCTGTGAAAGGTGGGGGTGTCATTTGAAAAATAGCTGCAGAGAAAACTGGAACGCTAACTATTTGGGGTGAGTTTGTTTTTGAGGATAATTATAAAATTCATAGGTTAAACTACTAAAATTTGAAAATCAAATGAAATCTGAAGGACCAAACAACACATTGTTTTTGTTTGAGAGGCATCAGGGAGTTCACTTGCCTGCCATGGGGCTCCAAACTTTGTTGCATTTACACTGTTTTCAATGGAGCTTGAGGTCGGTGCACCCCCAAGGACGAGCAAATTTTCTCAGAGCGAACCGCCGTGAGGGCGCGCCATCTGATTGTGACGGGTGAAGACCGATAAATAAACTGCCTTAGCCACCAGTACGGAAGCCCAATCGTGCCAATGAAGTATAAATTTCAGCCTAACACTAATTCGCTTTAACGAATTACTAATTCGTAATAACGAATTGTTAGTTCGTAATTACGAATTACTAATTCATAATTATGAATTGCTAACTTGAAATAACGAATTGCTAATTCAAAATAACTAATTAATACACCAATCTTCCAAGCCCTTAGATGGCGCTCTTTATTTCTCCTCATCAAACAGAGACATGTCAGGTGCAAGGCGCCCATGGCCGTGGGAATCACAGAGAGATGTGTCCGATCAGGGGTGCTTCCAAATAGGCCAGAAATCTGTCCACCGAGTTCATGAATAAAAGTTGTGACCTCAAAATATTCTATTTGAGTGAGTCCTGAGAGCCACGGATGTGGGTAATTGAGGAAATGTGGCACTAAACCTCGAGCCCGGACTCGGGGCTTCCAGTTACGAGCAATTTGGATGCAATCGGGTCTGAAAGTGACACTATTTAGTCGTTTGGCAGAGGGATGCCATTTTTCCGGGAAGGGAAATTTCCTTCATTTTAGGGGTGGTCTTACGGTGAGAATTTCTCAAAAATTCATCTGTTAACCCACTAAAAAAATGAAAGAGGACATGTCAAACTTCATTTTTCTGTCCAGCTTGGACACCTGCGAGACTTAAATAAAAGGATTTATTATTGGTGTCTGGGAATTCATTTTTAGGGGTGCACCCTTAGACGTATGAAGCGTGCATGCCTCGAATCACATGGGAATAAAAGCAAAACAGCGCCATCTGGAGGCTCAAGTATTTCGTTATTTCAAATTAGTAATTCGTTATTTCGGATTAGTCATTCATTAAAACGAATAAATGTCAGGCTGAAAATTTATATTTCATAGGCGACGATTAGGCTTTTGTGGAAACGTATAATTTCTGCCATACACATAAAAGATATTTTCCCCCTGCAGTTTCACGCACGTGCTCAACAGTTTTGACATTCGTAAGTGCGTGAAAAATATTTAGTGTGTGGTGGCTTTAGTAGTTTCCGTGTGTACCCTATTCTGTACATTGTGTTGCCGCACCGGGGAATATGGGCGTTTCAGTGTAGTGTGCCCCCAAGAGTTTGCAACGCGTTGGCCAATCACAATGCCCGGAATCTGTCGACTCAATGTGTTTAGAAAGTGTCGACAGATTTCGCGCCTTGTGATTCGCCAACACATTGCAAACTCTGGGAGGCGCACGACTGTGAAGCGCCCGTGTTGAATTATGCCATAATCATAAATTTTCTCAGGTAAACAGAACCTGAACTTCTATGCTTTTAAAAGAAAGGTGTTGGAGTTGTACGATTGTTAAATGCATGTCTTGTTTACTTCGTCCTTTTCTTTTCATCACTTGTCGCTTTGGCAATGACTTACTTTTGTACCCCTTCTCAGAATTTCCTAAGGTGTTTGAAGGATGGATGTTCTCCCCTCAGCAAAAGAGGGTGGTGGGAGGAAAGGGGGAATTGCAAAACGGAGAACGTACAGGTCATTGCATCCCATTTTCCTAGCGGCTCGGGAGGGGGAGGGGGGGCTTGCCCCTTCCCAGGGAAAAATTTGGGCGACGCCTACATAATAACCGCTAATTTATTTTGACAATTCTGTCAACGACAGAAGTGCGTGTGATGTGATTGCAGTCGGTATCGATTTAATCTGTGGGTTGTTTGACTTGTTTCGTCAGAGTGTTGACTTTGGACGCAGCTCTCGTGGCCGGATTGTTGATAAAGATGACAGTGGGTGCTATGCTCCCTGAGCCTGGAGACCAATGAATGACAAACAGGAGGAAGGGTAAAATACGGGGGTACCACGCCTCAACTCACATCAGAATTAATCCATCATCAAAGTCTGGGATATAAACACAAATTTTGGACCTTCGATAAATCACCACATGTTATAAGCAACACACTGACTTTTTGGAGACATTCTCAGATAACAAGCGACTCGGATAAGCATCGACCTCGCGATATCCCCGACAATCAACGACGTCGATCCACGAAAAAATGTTTACACTTTCCAACATCTTACCACTATCAAGTGCGACTCTGAAGTTCGGGCCTTTTCCAGTCAAAAACGGGAACTTGTAGCTCCCATCATGTTTTCGTCTAAACCCAGACAAGTGTGAACGAAATGTTACACAACCGTCCCCTGCAACCAGTCGTCACGGGTTTTCGGTTTTGGTAACATGCAAGTGCCCTCAAACGCCAGTTTCCATCAATAGCTTGGAAAGGTACTGAATAAAAAGTCATTACGATTCCAAACTTACTTGGAACTCATCAGTGGTCATGTGGGATCTCTTAAATGACAATGTGACAACATGCCGGAAGAGGGAATTGCCCCTCCCCTGCTGACAGTGACGTAGCAAAGGCATTTTCTTAGGGGACGTGCCAGAGTCATTTTGCCGATTTGTAACTTGTTTTTCAACCTCGTGTCGTGTAAAATTCACTAAGTGATCCGTGGTACGCTCTATTTGCTTACTGGAATGAAGTATTGCGGGGGTGCTGCACCCCACGTCCCCCCCTCCCCAGTCGCTACGCCCCTGCCCACTGAATTCATGCAAGTGGCTACTTGAGAGCGTATGTACTTTCTGGAACTACGATCCGAAACACAAATCCGTGCAGCGTGCTCAATCTCTGTCCCATGTTACTTGACGTAGCGTCGTTGGGAATTCACTGTGTGTAACTCATACCGTCACCTTTTGCCTGAGCCCACAACAATTCGAAAGATTACCGTCCCGGACTCGGCAAACACTTTAATAACGTCAACCGACTCTTCTTTTCATTTTCTTTTTTTTAATGAATGGGTTTTGAAAAGAGAGGTTTTTCGTTACAGTGTTGTGTTCGCCAGGCGGTTGCCTTTTGTTGCCCGCGTGGAAGGTATATCGGGTCAACTGATACACACTGTAGAGTAGTTATTTAAACCAGTTTAACTTGTGCGGAGCGCCCCTGTAATGGTCTGCCGTCGACAATGTTTGTACATCGGGGTAGTCATGGTTCTGTGCTTTGCTTGATGTTTAGTTTTCTATCCCCCAGCTAGAACCAACAGGCTGAGCACAGTTGTTGTTTTGTGTTTTTCTGAAGAGCGGTGATGTGGTGTTGAAAGTGACCAGAAAAAGCCGGAGACATTTCGTTGGTCAGGGTTTGTTCAAGTTTAGCACATCAGACATGGTTAATTGTTGATGAAGTTAAGATGCCGAAATTGCATCAAACAGTGATAGATATTGTTAATATTCTCCCACCGCGTGTGACAACACCGTCGCTGGGATTACAAAGCAGCCACTGTTGAGACGAGGAACGCGGAGTGGTACGGAGGTGTGATAACCGCCTTGGGGGATGGCGGCAATGTGGAGAGGTGTCCCCGAGTTACACGTGGCGATCCACCGCGGACAGTTCCACGATGCCCGCCAACTGGTATCGGCGGGAGATGACGTGAACTGCCGGGATGCGAACCACCGCACGCCCTTGATCCTGTGCGCGTTGGTGGAACAGGAGCAGTGGGGTGTGGGCATCGCTCGCATGCTCCTGGAGATGGGGGCCTTAGCGGGCCTGGTTGACAAGCAGGGCCGTAATGCGCTTATCTACGCCTGCATCTACCGGCGCTTGGAGCTGGTAGAGGTCCTTTTGAGTGCTGTGGACTTTGACTTGAACCACCGAGACCGGTTTGGCAACACCGCTCTCTTCTACGCCGCCTCGGGGGGCAACGCCGACGTCGTGGCCACTGTGGTCAAGAAATTCAAACACTTTGGGGAGACGTTGGACAAGCCCAACAAATTTGGCATGACGCCCCTGCTTGAGGCGTGTCGCCTGGGACATGAAAGGGTGGCGAGGACTCTTGTCGAAAACGGCGCAAAAGTAGAACGCAGGGACGGCGTACGGCACTGGAATGCCGTCGATTGGCAGCAGGAACACGACAGGCATGTGGAAGCCACCAACAGGGCCAGAAACCGCTCTTACAACAAACCCTGGTTGAGCACGAAGAACACCAGCGTTGGCAAGTCTGAGCCGGGTCAGCTACGTCGAGCAACCAGCCTGCCAGGCATCAGTGGGTCCGACTGCCACGGTCTCAGCGACGGAAGATCGTCCTCGGAAAGCATGGACCCCATCGTCCCTGAGCGGGCTCAGAGCGTGCCGAGACACACTCTCAGCCGGGCCAAGACCATGTCGGTCCTGCCGACTTTGAACTCGGCCAAGCTTGTCGGGGTGACCAGGAATTGGATCAGCGATACAGGAGGGAAGGAGCTGATCCGGGCCAAGTTTTACCCCTCTCCGGCACCTTTTGCTAACCCGCAGCTCACCACAGACGCAGAAAGGACGCACAACGCCTACGGTCAGTGGAGAATGACCCAGAACCTGCATCCGGTTAATTCGCTGAGCTCAAGGCAACACAACCAAAGTGACAGTGCCATCTGGCAAAAGGAATTTCGACAGATTTTCAAGCGGTATGAAAACCAAGTTAGCAAATCCTTCCGGAGGAAGGCCCGTGTTCCTCCGCCCGGTTACCGTTTTCGAAGCCATTCCCCACCACAAATTACTCAACCCTCTATCACTGTGGACGGCGACCGCAAAGCCCCGTCGGGCAGGCTCAGCCGTCGGCAGTCCAACCTGGATTTCGGACCGCCGCTGAAACGATTGCCGAGCGTCAACAGCATCGATACCTCTTCCGTTTCGTCGCGAAAAGCGACCGCGCCAAGCAGCGCTGTCAAGGGAGGCAGGCGAGACCCAGATTCGAGTTCTTCGTCGGTCGACTCCGCCGGAGCCGCCAAGATGGTCATGAACGCGTTTCGCAGGAGGAAATCGACCGCGTTCAGCTCGTCCTCCTCGATTGTGAAAACTTCTGAAGACGAGACGGAGTCTAAAGTGGGTAATTCGGGCAGTGACAGGTCAGCCGCGACTGGTCGGGTGAGAAAAACGTCGATCACCGGTACTCGTGGGGGCGGTGCAATTGCAGTGGAAAATGGTGACAAAAATATTACCACCTAGCTTATGACTGAAAGCTATAGAATATCACCAATGTAATCTGGAAATAAATCTCATTTCAAAGGGGCTTCGTCATCCTGAAGGCCTGCTCAAGCTGCAGAAGAATGCAATTACGACGCCAATTTGACGTCACGAAAGGTTTACAGCGAAAATCGCTCGTTGAAATGTGTTCCACTTTTACGAATTAGCAGCCCAGCGCGAATAAAATATTTGATCTGATGTCCGAAGTTTTGTTTGCTGTTGCGCCAATTAAGAACTGGCCTTTAATTGTAAATTGTAGTTATCTTTGAAACTTTAATAAACAGCCAATGTTGCCGTGTTCTATTTCTATAAAAGGTCTTTTGATATTAATTTTAATGTGTGCCAAAAGCTCCATTTTTATAAATGGTAGAGCAAAGTACTTTCACACTTGCTGAATATTTCTGAGCATTTCATTTCACACGTTCTCTCACCAAGCACTGACTGTTTTAATATCAAAATTAAACTAACAGTTATATCACTCTGGCAAACCAGTGAATATCACAAGCGTCTCGATAAAAGAAAATGTTAATTGTGTCGGCCGGACTATAAGTCGTGTAGTTAAGCGCCAGAGACAAACTTTATTGGGCTATTAGCTGTTCCGAGCGGAACAAATGGGGCGTGTTTTTTTTGGTACTCACGTCATAGGCACGCCAGTATAGGACTATGCGCGTTTGACGCGGAGCCCGCTGAGTACGCGTAACTCATTTATTCCGGCATGTATGGTCTTTGCGTACACACAGAACGCGTGCAAGAACCGTACCCGCTTGTAACCACATGTCTTTCTTTTCGCCGATTGGGGGTGCACTTCAGCTCGTGTGCCAACCAGTAGTCATGATTCATTATAACATAGTACAGCAAAATCATGAGCTGAGATATCACGGCGCAACTGCTCAAATGATATTATTGCACACGTAACAATTTCTGTAAATACCCTTGTTTCCTTGGATGTGCTCATCAAATAGACACTCTTATTTAAAACTGATATTCACCTGTCAGTTCTGTTATTTGTTACTGCAGACACAGCTGATAACTACTGGCGCTTCTATTTTCGTCTAATCCTACTGACAGAGATATTTCATCCTACGATAGCATATCATGCAAGGCTATCATAATCGGGGCTTTCCCAAACATTGTACAGAGGGGTGTCACACACCACTTGTCTGCATGACTTTCGCGATGGACTCTGGGATATCAGTCGTCTTCTTCTTTCTTGTAACCATCATCTCGGTCACTGAATACATATGGAGACGATAGATCGGATGAGCAGTGCGTTTGTCCCTCTTGCCTGTTGTAGACGGAGGAAGATTGCGTAAAATCTCGGCACAGCCTTGAAAGCCGTACGTGGGCATTTATGTCAATATAAAGTGTGTTTGACTAAAGTCTTTAACTCTTGTTTAGTTTGCTTGAATTGTACAGAAGTGCTGTAAAATCACTGGAAGTGGAACTTTGGGTGTGGTAATAGAGGGATTTCACATTAGCGCCGTCTGCGCATATCCGCACCAAAACCGAGGTTCTCTGTGTTGAACTTCATCGCGCGCCCACGGAGTCGACACAGTACATGCAGTATCCGGTTCGTAAGTGTGATACCACTTCAGTTTAAACCACGCCCACTGCACAAGATACACGACCATCGGTGGTACGTTAGTTCGCGGTCAATTGTCGTTATTTTTTTCTTTTGATTTCACGTGTCGAGTCATCCTGAAAGACTCCTCCACAAAAATTTGCAGTCTGAAAAGGCTGAATTTAACATACTTTTATGTATTTGTGTCTTGACTCCTTACTTTCAATCCTCTCATCGTATTAAGAATTGAAACCGACACATACAGCCTCGTTTTCAAACGCGGAAGTGCGCAGATCGACGCTAAAAAGCGTCGTATTGGGATCCCTCTATGGTGTGGTTGAAATAAACTATGTAACGGTAGCCGACGAGTGAGACTGTTTTGCCACCTTCAATTTGTGTTTATAGTTTTCTTCGCGGGTTCGCAGATACTGTATGCTCAATATTCATTTAGACTTCCTTGATCCCCGGCAGCAGATGGAGGCCATGAAAGGAATCTCCTCGCCATTATCTTAACGAACTTCTGAAACCCTGCCAACATGAAATATTTAAAACAAACTTTCAGTCCATATGTGACAAAACCATGCATGGAACCGTTAGTATCACAAAGTGTGCACTCTTGTCATGCCAGAGACGATTTTGGGCGGCAGTATAGTATACAATGGTTTGACACAAAAATATTAAGAAATGGAATAATTTGGGGGAGGACTCCAAACGAAATTCCTGTCCTTTATTGTTTGCTCTTTGAAATCAAACAAGAATGATGGGATCTCTCAAAGCCCAAAACTCAACACAGGAAGAACACCAATTGTTATACAAACCAGGTGCGTTTGCAACTGCGCAAGAAGGCACTTCAGTTCAGGGGTACGGTACTCCTGTGCCCTTTACTGCTAATTGAACAAGGAGATTTTCTCGGCGAAACCAAACAATCCAGCGGCATTGGCAGCTTGAGTTCACAAGAGGGCTTGTGCAGCCTTGGAATTCATTCTAAGCAATTATGCAGAGGCTCGTGAGACACTGTCGAGAGGGTTTGTTCAGTGTCTAGATCCAGTTTTCCTGAGCTAAAGTGGGTGAAGCTGTCACAAGGTCGAAACCAGAGATAGAAGATTAATGATCATTGATGAAGACACATGTCGTGTCTAATATTCCCGCTTGAATATATTTTTCTAGGCTTGGAAGACACCGGTGTTTCATAGTTATCCCCAGATTTCCATATAACGGAACTGTTGCATCTGTCTTTATGTTCCAAGGACCGGTTTGTGTTTACACTCAAATGTGAGTAAAAAGCGAGAGCTGTATCCCTTTTGTGTTCAGTTCTCTTCCGGGCCAAGCAAACAAACCCCGCCGCATCATCCTGACGCCCGCGGCCCGGTGTTGTTAGCCGTGTTTGCAGAGCGCTGGGCGGGATGACGCAGGCAAGGGACGGCATCTTGAAACGATGTACACGTGTTTGCTCAGAGCTACAATCCTGGCCAAAATTGTTGAGACAAGTGTCAATAGCCTCACCCTTCCCGGGTCGCACAGACCGTGAGACACAACATTGACAGGATATGGGGATGGAGGTCGGTTCAATGTTTTGAGATTTAGCTGGGATGATTACTACCACGCGCCACTATTCCGACTGTGGTACATCCCTCAACCACACCGAAGGCCACCTTATCGTCTTCTCAGAAAAATCTTTCCTTCAAGGGCACCTTGTATCTGCAGTATTATCATTTTTTGGCATTTCTTTCAAGACAAAAAGCAGCGCATTTAAACCACGTTTAATTTGAACTTTGTAAAAAGCTACATTTCGAACATACAGATACAGTTTAATCCATGGCTTTGAATGGATAACTGTCAATTCTTGGGCTTTCATTCATGATGGTGCATAACCAACCCCCTATTTACTGGTTACGACGGTGTCGAAATCCGAATTACTAAAGTTGGGTTTGTTAAGTGAAATGACTTTTGGCTTTGTTTTATGAAGTTTTACGGCCACTCCAACGATGGTGTCCATCACGCCGTTTTCATGCCCAGCAACTAGGGAAATATGGAATGGTCAGTAATTTTTTTAATTTTTAGAAACTTTTGCGAAAACGACAGGTAGGCCTACATTTTGGCAATATTTTATTTGAGTTCGAAAAGGAACAAACTTGACAAAGTAAAGGTGAATTTTTGCCGTGCCACTTTTGTAATTTAAATTCCGATATTAAACTTATGGCCAATGAGGCATAGATTAACTAAACTGACGACATTAAGTTTCAGTCAGATCAACAATAGGGTTGGGGTTAGGAATAGGGTTAGGGTTACAGATAGGGTTACAGATAGGGGTAGGGTTAGGGTCAGGATTTGGGTCGTGGTTAGGGTTAGATTTAGTGATATATAGGTTTGTGGTTAGGGTTAGAGGTAGGGGTAGGGTGTGGGTTAGGATCAGGGGTGTGGTTAGGATTAAGTTTAGCGATATATAGGTTTGGGGTTAGGGTTAGGGCTGGGGTTAGGGTAATAGGGTTGGGGTTAGGAATAGGGTTAGGGTTACAGATAGGGTTAGGGGTAGGGGTAGGGGTAGGGTGATTTTTAGGGTTGGGGTTGTGGTTAGGGTTAGTGATATATAGGTATTCGGTAAGGGCTAGGGTTAGGGGTAGGGTGAGGGTTAGGATTGGGTCGTGGTTAGGGTTATATTTAGTGATATATAGGTTTGGGGTTAGGGTTAGGGCTGGGGTNGTTAGGGTTTCGGCTAGGGGTAGGGTAAGGGTTAGGATTGGGGTTGTGGTTAGGGTTAGGCTTAGCGATATATAGGTTTGTGGTTAGGGTTAGGGCTAGGGTTAGGATAATAGGGTTGGGGTTAGGAATAGGGTTAGGGTTACAGATAGGGTTAGGGGTAGGGGTAGGGTGAGGGTTTGGATTGGGTCGTGATTAGGGTTAGATTCAGTGATATATAGGTTTGTGGTTAGGGGTAGGGGTAGGGTGTGGGTTAAGATCAGGGGTGTGGTTAGGGTTAAATTTAGTGATATATAGGTTTGTGGTTAGGGTTAGGGTTTAGTGTTTGGAGTGGGTCGTGGTTAGGGTTAGATTTAGTGATATATAGGTTTGTGGTTAGGGTTAGGGTGTGGGTTAGGATCAGGGGTGTGGTTAGGGTTAAGTTTAGTGATATATAGGTTTGTGGTTAGGGTAAGGGCTAGGGTTAGGAAAATAAGGTTGGGGTTAGGGATATTGTTAGGGTTACAGATAGGGTTAGGGGTAGGGGTAGTGATAGGGTAAGGGTTATTATTGGGGTTGTGGTTAGGGTTAGTGATATATAGGTTTGTGGCTAGGGTTAGGGACAGTGGGGTGAGGGATATTCTTGGCGTTAGGGTTAGGATAGTGTGAGTGTGATCGTGATTGGGTTTGAGAAAGGGACAGTTTTCGCTATATATCCACATCAACATTTGACACAACTGAAAATACGACAACTTAAGTCAACATATTAAAAATATGTTATAAAAATGACAGGAACAGTGCTCACTTTTCGAGTAAAGAGGCTTGCTTCACAGGGCAAAGTATTGGAATAACTAAACCATGTATCAGATCCACCACACAACTGAACATTTTAGTCCTATTTATCAGAACTGTTGGTGTTCCAGATTCACTCCAATCCCCTGGAAAAATGGCCTACACCATACCATTAAGGTTGCATTCCGCGAAATGATTGTAT